GTCATTCATTATATATCCACTCTAAAGTCGTTTGATGGGTTTTTTGTTTGTTTGATTTTTTAGGGTGCTCTGGTGGCTTAGTGGTAAGGAATTACGGTGCCAACATAGATATGCAGCTTTAATCTACCAGCCACTCCATGAGAGAAAGATGGGCATTCTCCTCCTGTGTGATTTACTGCCCCTGAAACTCCCCCACAGGGTCAGATATGGGGTCAAATCCTACTTGATGGTACAAAACAACAGAATTTTTATACAGGTTCATAGTGGCAAAAAAAACTGGAACCCAGGACAAAGACAAGATTCTGTCAGTAAACTCTCTGAGTTAACTCTTTTATAACCTGTGGTTTACATAAGGACAGAGAGCTCTGGTGGCACAGTGGCAAGAAGCTGTGCTGCAATCCCAAAGGCACACAGTGAATCCATCAGCTGCTCTGCAGGAGAAGGATGGGCAGTCTTCTCCCCAGTGATTAACTGCCCCTGAAACCTCTCTGGAGGGTCAGCCCTGGGCTAGTTCTGACTTGAGAGTACACAACAACAATAACATACATAAATAGTAGTTAAATTTTCCACCTCTGAGTTTTCCTGGGAGGCCTTTCCTTCCACACTGGCATAGGGCAGAAGGAAGTTCTTTGGGGACGTCTGTCTGTGTTTATGGGTTATTGTTTAAGTGATGCACTATGGAGCAATGTCTGCAAAAACTTCTGTCTCTTTGGACTTCTCAGTAGCAAGACGAGGCTTGTAATGGTATTTATTGTTGCTATGTGTTATTGGGAAGGTGTGGTGTCTGGGATTAGGTAATATTCAAGTGAATTTTTTTCCCATGCTTTAGTCTCGTCCCACCAGCAGAGACCATTGGGACATTTATGTTCATATGATATTTATCATAATCCATTATATCTGACAAAAATTCAAAACCACTTAATGGTTCAGCATGCATCCCATTGTTGTTGTTTTTGTTGATTGACTTCCAGTTGAGCACAATTAATAGTGACCCTATGAACAAAAAGGCCTGAAGCCCCTCTACAACTATTGACCTTTAACTATCAAAGTTCATAGAGTTTCCAAAGGCAAGTTGCTTAGGAAGTGGATGCCACTCCTGCTTCCAAATGCATCCCATTTGTGGGGAAAAACATTACCAAATTAACAAAAAATAATTTTGTAATGAAAGGGATACACACACATACAGGCGTGTGCACGCATGTGCGTGCGTACACACACACACACACACACACACGCACACACACACGCGCACACACACACGCGTGCGCGCGCGAGTAGGCCAGATTCTGTTTGATTCTCAAAAGTGTAAAGTCCCCGACATTCAAATAAATATGTCTGGTATTTTGGTCTCTATATACCTGCCTCGTTTGTAGGGTGTTGCACTGCTAATCAACGGTCATGCCTCTCTGGCAGTTCAAATCACTAGTGGTTCCTTGGGAGAAAGATAGGCAATGTCCTCCCATGCAAGTTACAGTCTCCGGAAAACCTGCTGGAGGGTCAGCTATGAGTCAGTTTCTTCTGACTTTCTGGCAATGAGGTATCCTTGCCTAGGGGGCTCTGGTGGCATTGTTTGCAGGGAGTCACACTGCTAACAAAAAGGTGGTCAAATCCACCAGCAGCCCCAAGGGAGAGAGATGGGCAATCTCCTCCTGTGAGATTTACAGCTTTGGAAACCAACTGGAGAGGTAATGGGATAGCCTTCTTGTTGTTGCTGTTGTTATGTGCCACCGAGTCACTTGCAACTCATTGCAGTCCTATGTATGTACAACAGCTCTGATCCCTGTTCTATCCTGTGGCAACCTTTTTGTCTCTGACAAACCTACCCCCATTACCCAGTCATTGAACAGTACAAGAGAGGCAGACCCGTGAGGAGAGGGACTGATTCAGTGGTATAGGCTTAGTGGTAAAGAATTATGCTGTCAATCTAAAGAGACTGGGTTAGAGTCTGTCAGCTGCTGGGCAGGAGAATGAGCAATCTTCTCCTGTGTGGGTTTAGATGGGCAATCTTCTCATGTGTAGATTTTAAAAATATTTTTAAGAACCCACTAGAGGAGCAGCTGTGGGTTGGTTCTGACTTGATGACACATGCCAACCACAGCAACAAGAAGGTTATAAAACACATTATAGGCATTTAGGTTGGTTGTTCAAAACTTCGCTGTGGCCCAGAAACAATTCCAGGGAAAACTGCTGAAATAGTAATCACCGTTGATAAGATTCATTGAGCATTTACTATATGCTCAGTTACATTGTGCTAAGAACTTCAGATATATTAATTCATTTAATAGTCCAAATACATCTATGAAGTAATTTTTTTCCCCCAATTAGTTCCCCTTAACAGGCAAGGAAACTTGAGTTTCAGACATCCAGTAAAAAAGATAGTTTAAATCTGGTTTAAATCAGCTGAGTTTAAATCTGGATCTGACTCCCATCCCTCAACACTTTGCTTTTTCAACTGCTTAGGGGTTAGTCTCCCCAAGCTTGAGAAGACACCTCTCTGGGCAAGGTTTCGGTTCATTAGGACACCTTCGTCCTAGTGATAAATCTTTAACTCAAGAAACTCTCCCACACTGGAAAGAATGCCTTCACCTGAGCAAGAAGCCCCACCTAGGACTCACACCCCGTTTTGTCTTTAGAATGAAAGCATATGCAAAGGCATCTCAAGACTAGCCCATCCTCCCAAAAAGAGGACTGTGCTGTTGTCAGTGACCCTACTGTTGGGGATAATCCCTTAATTCAGAAGGAAACCTTTCCTAGTTGTGAATTCACTGCTTGTGAGTGGATCTCAATCTAATAGAGTAGAACTGCCACATAAAATATTGCTGTTATGTGCTACCTTTGCGGTGGGAGCACCACTCCTTACCACTAAGCCACTGTTGTTGTTGTGTACCGACAAGTTGGAATCAAATCATAGTTGACCCTCCAGCGGGTTTTCACAGGCAGTTGACTGAAAGGGAGGAGATGGCCTATCCTTCTCCCTGGAGCAACTGGTGGTCTTGAACCACGAGCCTTAGCGATTGCAGCACAGCTTCTTGCCACCAGAGCTCCCTATAAGGTTCCTAAGGCTAATAAATCTTTAGGGTGCAAAATGCCCCATCTTTCTCCTGAGTAGCAGCTGATGGATTCCAACGTATTGGATTTTGGGGTTTTTTTAATTGAAATTTTTTAAACTTTATTCTTTTTTTTTTTAGATATTAATAAAAGTTTATAGAGAACTTAGATTTCCATTCACTCATTCTTGCACATTTTCCTCCCTTCCTAGACCTCGGGATTCCAACTTTTTATATTTCTGTTAACACCTGAGTGCTTCAGAGGGGCCCCATCCATTCCAGAAATCTCTCAATCCTGAAGATGAATCTTCACTGAAAAAAAACAACCCCACAAACCAATAAAATCAGCTGTAGAATTATGCTGTTAACTCAAAGGCCATGCCTCTCTAGTCGTTTGACTCCACCAGTCTCTCCTCGTGCAGTTTACCGCCTCAGAAACCTAAAGCAGGGTCAGCTATGAGTCGGTTCCAACTTGAAGGCAATGAGTTGAGAGAGTTCAAACTGAAGGAGCTCAAATAGCATTTAAGCTTCCATCCTGCTTGTTTGTGGCAGTCTCCTTTAAAGTCTACAGTTTTAGAAGCCCAGGGCAGGGTCTCAGGAAGTTAGGGAACTCCAGTGGTTTGTTTAGTGGGTAAAGAGTTGTATTGTCAACCTGAAGGAAGGTAGGTGGTTCAAATCCACCAAATGTTTTGTAGGAGACAAATGAACAAGCTCCTCCTGGGTGATTTACAGCCTCGTAAATACCCACCGGAGGATCAGCTATTATTTGGTTCCCACTTGACCTACAACACCTAACGACTCTTAGAATCCACTTGACCCCAGCGGGGTTGGTTTCAGTAGATTTGGTGCACAATTAACTTCAAGATTAAAAGAGCAGAACATGAAGATAAGCTCCGAGCCCTTGTAAATGTGAAGGTGCATTCATGATCCCCTGTTTGAGAGATACCTTTCACAGAAGGGAGAGGACCCCTCAATCAGATTCCAAATCCTTCTCGTGGGCATAGGGTAGAGAGTGGCTGCATGGAGGAGGTGGAGTATTTAAACTCAATTTCCACAGACACTGTGTGTGGGTGCACCAGGGGGAAAGACTCCAAATCTGCCATCACTCCCTTTGGCAGCAAAACTCAAGCCAGGTGGTTGTTTCAAACTCAACAGCACAACTCTGCTGCACAAAGATGTGATAGGCTGTTTTTGTAAAGATTTACGATCTAACTAGGAAACTCTTATCAGGCAGTTCTAAGTGGAACTGGCGTCTCCATCGGAAAGACAACAGAGGCACCCCCTCCCGCTGGCAAGGAGGTCCCCGGGAGCCGCCGAAGCTCCTCCTCCCGGGCGTGCGGGCCTCGCCTCGTGCGGCCGATTGCCGGGGTAACCGACGCCGCGAGCGGTGCATTGTGGTTTGCAACAAAATGCAGGCGAAAGATCCAGGGGGAACCATTGAGTCGGCGGGCCAATGGGAGCGTCGCAGGGGCTGAGTCCAGCCAATCGGGACGTACGGCGGAGGGCGGGGCCGCCGGGAGCGGGGCGGGGCCTGGGCACTAGGCGGCGGCGACTGCCGTGGGGCGACTTAGATGCGCCACGGCTTCGGGAGCGGCGGCAGGTTGTGCGGGGCTTGAGTCGCTCTAACCCCTCCCCCAGAAAGCCATCGCAGACGCTGAGTGCCTGCTCCGGGGTGAGTCTCGAGGACTCCGGGGGAGCGGGGACCCCGCTGCCTCCATTTCTCTCCGCGCCGGACTTCTCCCGCCGTGCAGTCCGCGTGGCTCGCGCTTTCAGAAAAGTGGGTTGGTTGGGAGGAAGGGCGTGGGGGGGGCGGTGTCCCGATTGTGGGCGCGGGTCCGGTTTAGGGTTGCGGGCGGACGGTCGGCTCATACATCCTCCTCCCGCACTCCCCGCCAAGTTCTCACCTCTGCCCCGGGCCTCGTCCCCCCCCCACCAACCTCCCCGCAGGTAACCAACCATGTGCGACCGAAAGGCGGTGATCAAAAATGCGGACATGTCGGAGGAGATGCAACAGGACTCGGTGGAGTGCGCGACCCAGGCGCTGGAGAAATACAACATCGAGAAGGACATCGCGGCCCACATCAAGAAGGTGAGAGCGGGGGTCCTCGGCCGCCACTGCGCCCTTCTCCTCGCAAACCTGCGACCCCGGGGAGGCGGGGGGGAGGCTTTGGGGCGCGCGGGGCGCATCGCGATCGGAGAGGCTTCCAGAAAGGACGCCCGCACTTCCCGCCCTCCGCTTGGGGAAGCCGCGACCCTCGGCCACCGGAGTTGGTTCTTTTTTTTTTTTTTTGGTTTTGTATTTTTGTTCTTATTTTATTGCGGCCGCTCCGCGGGGAAAAGCGCCACCTAGCAACGGTTTCCAGGCTCGGGGAGCAGCGGTTCCCCCTTCGGCTTGCGAGCTGCGCGAGGGCTCCATCTGGGTGTTCCGAACGGGGGGAGCGGCGTGGGCGTCCTCCAGCCGGAGCCCGAGGCAGAGCTTGCCAGCCCTGCAGCGGGAGTCGGGCGACAGTTGATGGGGAAGTGGGTGGTGGTAGTGATGGGGGGCTGGCGAGGGGGCCGGTGGTAAATGGCAGTCTGTAGAGAGCTGCAGGGACTGCCAACTTCCCCGCGTTGTGTTTTGCTGGAAGGGAAAGGAAGCTGGCAGCCCCAGCCGTGGGAGGGTTCCAGTCGAGAATGAGAAGATTAAAAAAAAAAAAAAAAATAAAGACTTCATATGAACAGGGGAAGAAATGCCTTTGCTGAGAAACGCAACCGAAGTGCGTTCAGCTTGTTAGGCCCTAAAAAGAGGTCTTTGCATCCCTTACAATGTTAACAGAAACCAAATTTTATTTAATGCCCCACCAAAAAAAAAATCCTCTAAGAAGATACCACTTTTAGTCCCTAAGCATTCACTAGTGAAGAAGGGAATACAGAGATTGCAGCCTCTTGGGTGCAGGGGAAACAGGGAAAAGTTCCTGCTGTTTGCTTTCCCTCGAGGACTGCTTGGAATAGGAGTCACCATCAGGTCAGGTGTGAGGAGGAGGGCTATCCAAATTAAGGCAGAAACTTGGCCCCTTACCTTGCTTCTGCCTTCAGCATTCTTTCTTATAGGGACTGGGTATTGCTAAGTTTTTTGTTTTCTAAAGTTTCGATTTTGATTCCCCAGTACTTTGGTTAAGGTACTGATTAAGGTTAAGGTAGGCTTTATCTTTTACTTATCCTTTTGAAAGTTCTTTTCAGTAGTGCAGGCGTGCAATTAAAATTAATTTTGAAGAGCATCTTGGCCTAAATATATTTGATTTGTATTTCAGGTGCAGTGTAATAGTAGATAGGTAACAGCAGTTGAGATAAACTTCATCTCATTTACCTGTTGTCAGTGAATGTTGTAGACGTTATGAGGGTAGAACTGCTCAGAACAAAGAGCACCCTGTCATTGAGGCTGCACTTTCTGCTCCCAGCCCCCATTCCCATCTTAGCTCAGACTGCAAGTATGTTTGCATTAATGCACCATGTAGGCGACTTGGAGCTGGGGAACATTTCTTTCATACCAGGAATCTGCAGATGCTAATGTTCTCCCTTTGCCCGTACAAGCTCTGACTGCTCTACAAGGCAAATGCTGACCTCCAGTTTAGCACTGAAATTCTTGTGTTCTCATTTTTTTGTGTTTCAGGAGTTTGACAAGAAGTACAACCCCACCTGGCACTGCATCGTGGGGAGAAACTTCGGTAGTTATGTGACACATGAAACTAAGCACTTCATCTACTTCTACCTGGGCCAAGTTGCCATTCTTCTGTTCAAATCTGGTTAAAGCATGGACTGTGCCCACACACCCAGTGATCCATCCAAAAACAAGGACTGCAGCCTAAATTCCAAATACCAGAGACTGAAATCTTCAGCCTTGCTAAGAGAACGCCTCCATCTTTGAACCTTTGTTGTGTTTTGTACAGGACCTTCCTCTGTACCAGTTTGTTGTGGTTATAAAGCAATTAGCAAATCAGCTTACATTTGTATTTATTTTCTGTCCCATACTTTTCTCTGCCTCATGTTTTTTTTTTCCTCACAATTCATTCCTTTAAAAAAATAAATCTGTTGGAGATGTGTGTGTTATACTAGTTTGTTTGACTCTAGGGTTGAAGACAGCTTATCTCTAACCAGGTGATCATGTTAGTGGAAGTAAGTTTTTTGGGGATACCCTATTTATCTGCATCTGTTGTACACAGAAGTACAGGTTAAGCACAGTAGAGAAGCTTGGGTTACATTTTCATTGTAATCTGGTAAAATCTTCAAATGCTAATTTTATGAAAGGATGTCAATGTCAGGATTCTGGTCTGAGGTAGTGAGTGATGATGGATGTATAACTGAGCTTTTTATATATCTGATAGAATCTTAAGTTTAAAACATGCTGTATTAGGCTTTCTCCTCTTAACGTCTTTGCAGGAATTTTTAGTTTTTAACCTGTGCTATAGCTAACCCTGGTCAAAAACCAATTAAATGTGAACTGACCTAGTTAAAATTGTGGATAAGTAACCTTTAGCAGTGTTCCTGCTAACTTTCAGGAGACTTTTTATAAAGAAAAGCAAATAAAAGTTGGCTTTTGTAAGTGGAAACTCACATTGAGGAAGTGGTAAGGAGTATGCTGGGTTATTTTCTGGGGATTTGTTTAGGATCTCATAGTGGTGGTAGGTGAGTTTTTCTAAGGCCTGGAAGCTGGCACAGGATAGGATATGGTTTTGATCTGTTCAGGAGTGGATGTGCTAGTGGAGGGCACTGAACAAAGATGCCGTTAGAATTTGCAGGTAGACTGTTGTTAACACAAAAGGGAGGCAGGATTGAATTGACAGGGAAAAAATTTAAAGAGCACATCAGGTCAGAAACTTGAAGTTTGCAGAGGTAGATGATTCTCTCTGGGTGTAAATCCACCTGCATCTCCTATGGAGGAAGATGGGCAGTCTCCTGTGCCACTTAAAAGTTTCTGAAAACCCACTGGAGGATCAGCTATGATTCAGTTTTGGCTCTACAGCAATGGCAGTGTATTGTAATGGAGTTAAGTTGTGCTACTTTAGCACTGATTGGAAAGTAATACGGTAGAAAGCCCCTCTCTCGTACCGTCAAATCAGATCTGACTGGTACAGGAGGAGACCGCCCCTCCTTCCCTGGCAGAGCATCTGGTGGATTCAAACCGTGCGCCTCTGGGATTGTAGTTGCAGGTCCTTGCCACTAGGCCACCAAAGCTCCCCAGGCCCTCTCTATTGTGGCAGTTTGAAGGTGTTTTCCCTGCTTGTAGAAAATGAACTAGAATTGCAGCTGAGATAATTAAGATTTGTCTAAGTTGATCATCTATGCTTCCTGTGGTGATGTGGCCATGTTTTCTTTGAAGCCTAACAAATTACTAAGTCTCTGAAGCTATGTCCTTGTGTTCAATTCCAAATGTCTGTCCCCAGCACAGAACTTGGAGCTGATGACATGCATGCAGCTTGACATTAGAGCTCCTACCTACTGTCAGGAAATGGCAGCCTTTGATGATTTTATTTCTTGAGTCAGATGTGAGAAAATCATGTTGCTATGGAGATAAGACTGATGGTTTATGAAGTTCCTTCCAGTACTTGATCCTTCCTGTTAATTTTAAAGGCCAATAGGCTCCAGCTGGCTGAAGAAAAGATGGAAGCCAAAAGTCAAGTTTAGTATTTTGACAAATGATCTTGGCTGCTGTTCTTCAAGGTAGGTTATTGATAATTGTATCTTGACGTCTGAGTAACAGGACTAGATCTTGGGATGGTGTGTGATAGAATCCTACTGTGCTAGGCCCTATTAAGTCCTTCCTATCTTTTTGACAGCCCTACAATCTCCTAAGACAAATGTATTTCTTGCTCCCTCAGAGTTGGTTTGAAGTCTTCAGAGAGCATGAAGAAATCTGGTAATTGCCCAAAGCCTTCACCTCGGCATCTAATAGCAGAAAGGAAGAAATGGATGCCTAGAAATGGGACGTCAGCATCCTGAAGACTCCATTAGGCTGCATACTGCATAACTGGTAGGAGGTTTCTTTAGATACCTTAAAACAGCAAAGACTGCTTATCTAATAATTGCTCTGGTAACTACTCAGTTTGTAGTTGAATCACCAACCCAAAGGCAGGTGTTTCAGATCCACCAGCTGATCTGAGTGAGAAAGATGGGCAGTCTCCTCTGTGACACCTTTGAGAACCCACTGGAGGGGTCAGCTAGCAGCTGCTGGTTCTGACTTTACAGCAGTGAGTTAGTTCAGTGCTACGCCAAAGGAGATCTGATAATGCCACCAGCCGCTCTATGGGAGAATCTCCTCCCATACAAATTTAGCACCTCAGAAACTGGATGTAGGGCTGCTCTGAGCTGCAGCAGACTCAACGGCAGAGAGTTTGGAGTTTGGGGGAGGGTTCTAAGCCAGGAAGTACTCTACCTGAAACTTTTTTTAAAGAGCCTTGAACGAAGTTACCTTTAATAGACAAGTTGCTAGACTTCTGCAATTTGCTAGTAGCAAGGCCTCTAAAACAATACATTATCATGACTCAAGACGTACAACTTCACTCCTGTGCCAGCCAGTCAGATCCAATCTGACTGCACACAAGAAGAGGGAGGAAAGGACTTACAGCTTCATTGTAATGTCAAACATTGTACTGGTAAACAAGAGCTCTGCCGGCCTTGCCCCAGTGACTGGAAGTGGTTAGGCTAGGGAAACAGTGGTCAAACCTTTTTTCTCTTGTTAGGAAATCCCCTCTTCAAATATATCCTGATAAAGAATTCCCTATGTATGACATGAGAGCAGCACTTTGTTGGTCCACTTTTTCTTTCCACAAGATTTTGAGTTATTCTCTATTGATGGACACTAAGGATACAGTTGGTTGAAAGGAACAGAAAAAAATGTGTCTCCTCTGCTCCCTTCTCAAAAATTACAAACACCATGTAAACTGTAAAACTCATTTACTGGATCAGTACAGTATTTTGTAATTGTTAGTCTTGTGACTTGGGCCTTCACTTCTGCCCCAGACTCAGTCTTAGGATGAAAGATTTATCCAGGTATAGTTTTCTAGTTCAAATTATTATATATCAAATGATCCATTATCCCTCTGGAAGGCAGCACTGACAGAGAAGCTACAAATACACTTCAAACTGGAACAGTAGTGCTGGTTTTAACTCAACCACACACTGCGTAGCTAAGAAAAGTTAGTTGAGCTAAAACAGACCAAAGATCCCTGGGCGAGGTCTGAAACAGTTCCTCAAGAAAGCAACAATGAAGTGACAGGAATCGATTCTCCGATGCTGTGGCTGGCTCTTGGAACATGAGCTCGAGGTACAGATCCTTCACAGGAGATGTCCTGCTGCTGGTCTCTACAGCAAGACAATCCTTCAGTCCCAAGCTTTCAACAGGATGCTTCAGGCTCCACGATCAGAAAGGAGTTACAGTTTGAAACCAGAATGAATGGCCACGATACCTGATGTCAGACTTTGATATGTCACCTTCTGAAAACCTGCCTCTTCTATCATCTCCTTGAATTCTTCCTAAAACAAAGATAACAGCAAGAAGTAAACCAACATAAAATAAAAATCTAAAATTAATAAATTCCAACAAAGAACAAAATCCAGCAAGAATTACCTGGATTTTAACCCTATAGGCTCTGTTGTAAAACTAGGAGATTTATACCTGAGATGGGAACTTCCGGATACTTTCCACAAGGTACTGGTAGGACTTCCAGTCTCCTGCGATGACCTCTCCAAGGACAGGGATGACCTGGAAGCTATATAAATCATACAGCCTAAAACAAAAAGCAACAGAAGTAAGATTAGAACATGCTTTGGTTTTGATTTCATCCATCAAGATGCAAAGCTGAGGTCTGGAAGGACACATTCAAATGGCTATAGGGGCCAAGCAAGTATCTAAAATAAGTGGGCCAAGAAGTGACAGATGTGGCGAACAGTATTAGTTCTGGCTACTGCTATGTAGGTATATGACCCACCCTACAAATTTAAATTTTTTTAATAAAAAATTCCTAGAAAAATCAGTGTTTCAAAATAGCCCACCAGTCCTTAAAATAATAACACGTGGGCCACTGAGCCTCTGGTTTCAGGACTGTGACTCTTCTGGCCTAGATGCCGTACAGAACTGGCTGAGTTCTATGGTGGACCATCTGCCGGGAATCTGAGTTGTGAGGTGGGAAGAGCCTGACTCGTTACTGGCTGTTTTTTCTACTTGTATCCATTTGGGGAAACCCTAGGCTAGACGTAGGCCTAGTTGTAGCCTAATTTTAGTTAATAGTCTGTTAACAGTTCCAACCTGGATATGAGAGGATTGTTCACTTGGCTAAACTCCAGACAAAGGAACCGTCCTCCTGGCTTCAGGACCCGGTGGGCTTCCTGCAGTGCCTGAGCAAGACAAGAAATAAGACTCCTCAGGAGACCTCACTCAACTCCATGAGGCCAAGACAGCTTTAGTCTCGACGAGTGATCTACAAGCTACCACTGGCCTCAGCCCTCATCGACTCTTGGGAAGCCAAGACAAGCCTGTCACTGTGTGCTGTCAAGTTGACTGATACATGGTGACCCATGTGCTCCAGAACAGTACTGCCCCATATGCTTTTGTTGGCAGTAATCTTCATGACAGCAGATGGACACGTCTTTAGCGCAGAGAGCTGCTGGGTGGGTTTGTACTGCAAACCTTTTTGATTTAAGAGACAAGCACCTTTACCACTCCAACACCGGGCTCCTTAAAAAAGAGAAGCCCAAAGTCACCAGCAGAGTGATTCTGACTCTGTGATTCTACAGGGGAGAGCGGAGATAATCTTGGCAAGTTTCTAAGCCTCTCGTCTCTATGGAAGCAGGCTGCCACATCTTTATCCCATAAAGCAGCACGTGGGTTTGAACTGCCTTTTAGTCCTTATAAGGGTACTTTTACCACTGTGCCACTGGAGTTCCTCCCTTAGAATCAGTGCTATCACAGTCTATTTTTTTTAGGCCACTTGAGACTAGAGAAGGTCACCTATGTTAATACAAACTGACTAGAGATTAGTACAACCTTGAGGATGCATTTTAAGATTACCTATTAAAGTGATAATTACCCTTTTTGATCTAGAGATTCTACATCTAGGACTCTAGCTTATGGAAATTGCTTCTACTGAATAAACCGGCACGCCTGTGTGTTAGGCACGGCAGCACTGTTTGAACAGCACATGATGAGAAGCACTTTAACTCAGAGTTTGATTAAATGATGGAATGATCTAAACAAACAATTTATGCAGCTATTCAGAGGAGGAGGCATAGACTGACATGGAAGTAGCTAAGAGGTATGTTTAAAGTGACAAAGCACTGGGTGAAATATTAAGCATGTTAATTTTTATATGAGAAAACAATGAATCCACTTGCCATGCATAAAACTTTTTTTTTGTAAATATTATTATGTGTGTACCATCAGATCGGATCTGACTGGTACAAGAGGTGATTGTTCCTCCTCCTTCAGCAGAGCATCTGGTGGATTTGAACCACACACCTCTGGGATTGCAGTGCAGCTTCTTGCCACTAGGCCACCAGAGCTCGCCCATAAAACATTGTTATAAAGGAATAAATTAGTGACTGTCTATGGGAGCAGTCCTAACAACTCTATAAGGTGGTCTACTTGGTCCTCTAGAGTCACAGTGAGAATCAACTCCATGGCAGTGACTTTGAGGGGTTTTTTGGTATTTTTAAGGAGCCTGTGACAGTTCAGGCTTTACCGAGTACCAGAAGTTGGCAGTCTAAATCAATGGCAGCTCCACGAGATAAAGACCTGGTGACCTGGTTAGGGATCTAATGGTTAAGAGACCAGGGAGAGGGGACACTTACAGTGATAATCTTTTTGTACCTTTTGAACTTTGAATCTACGTAAAGTTTTTTCCTCATTAAGGCTCGAGACACAGTCCTGTTCATAAACGCCAAGCCAAGGAGCACTATTATGTCCCATAATAAGAAGCAGAACCAATGAACTGGTACCATAGAATAGAAATAAAACTAGGTGCCTTGCCCATGGTCTACAAGTATTTTGAATCGAACGCTGAAGTGGAAATAAAGACTGGTATCAAACTGAACCTTGATGATACAATGATTAAGCAAGTTAGTGGGTAAGCAAAGGATGAGTTGTTTGAACTCACCAGCCACTCCATGGGAGAAATACTAGACGGCCTGCTTCCTTAAAGATACAGGCAGGGAAACGTTACAGAGCAGTTTTACTGTCCTGTCGGCTCACTGCTTAGGAGTTGACTCTGATGCCTGGTCACCCTCTACTGGGTTTCTGAGGCTGTAAATCTTTACAGGAAGAGACTGCCATCATTCTCCCCCAGAGTGGCTGGTGTATTTGAACTCTTGACCTTCTGGTTAGGAGTGCAGTGTGTAAAGTAATTGGCTCTACCGTCTTGGGTTTAGCATCGAGTAAAGAATTGACTCTTTTCCTTCAAAAGAAGGACTGTGACTCTGGCTACCTTCAGCCAAAAAGGTCTGACCAGCCCTCTGATCTGCAAACTCACAACAGATTGCCAAGTGAGAGGAAACAGATGAAGTGATAGAGCTAGTGATCTCAGAGATGTAAACATCAACAGCACAAGTAGCCACGACTTCTGTGGGGATCTGCTTTGTAGTTTTCACTTTTGAGCTTTTAGTCTGTTTTTAGGTATATGACGAAGAGAAGTGGCAACCTAAAGGACTGGGTCCCCTGAGGTCATTCTTCTTAAGCTAGGCCCAGAGAAGAACCTCTTCCTCTTTTCCTCATTCACTAAGGATCCACTCCATGGGGAACAAGTGTCCTAAGAGGCACACAAACCAAAGATGCAGCCATTCATACCTGATCAATGTGTGTCACATTCCGGATCCCAAAGGCAATGGTGTAAACATCAAACTTGTCATCATCAAAGGGCAATTCTTCAGCATCTCCCAATACCCAAGCAAGTCCTGAAAGAGAAAATCTGTTCTGGGTCTTGGTCTGGGGGACTGTTATCCTTGGCACCCAAACACTTCAGAATCCTGTCTTCTCTGCTGGATTCGTGGCCACTATCTTTCTGGTCTTCCAGTCCTGACAATGTGAACTGGATGCTCCTGAAGCTTAGGAGGATCAGAGTCCTTCTCCCAGAGTTCTTGGAAAAGAGCAATGCTTACTTAGTCACGCCTATCCAGAAGCTGTGGAAGGCTGGGCAGTCTCCTCTTGTGGGATTTCGTGCCTCTGAAAACCTGCCTGGAGTTAAGAGCTGGAGCTGAGTTGATTATGACTCCGGGACACACATGTAGGCACCACTGTGCATCGAAGTGTTCAGGTTCTGAACTCAGAATGCATGTGTTCTAATTCCAGTGTCTCCTTTTTTTGGTTGCATAATCTTGAATAAACTACTTTGCCTCCTTGTGCCTCAGCTGTAAAATGAACAAGTATATAGGTCAAGTCTTTAGTAGGATTAAATGAGTCATTCTAAGTGCAGGGGCCAGCCCTTGGAAGAAGACAGGACTTGGGCAAGGCCGAGGTTCAAACAAAGAGGAAGACCTTCAATGGGAGATGGACTGACAAAGTGACAGAAGAATGGGCTTGAGCATGCTGCAGATTGCAGGGATGGGGCGGGATAGGCCTGTTATTCAGAAGGTTGTTACGAGTCACAGTTGACTCCATGGCACCTAACAATAAAATGCATCAGTTTTAAAAAAGCGCACACCCGATTCAAATCCACCAGATACTCTGCTGGAGAAGAAGGGACAATTTCCTCCCGTACCAGTCAGATCTGATTTGACAGTACACATACAAAAATAATAAATACATATCTCATTTACATCTCAATATTTATCTCATACTGAGATGCCTAAAGTCAGCCATTCTTAAAGACCATAGCAAGCCGCCTAGAGCCGCTCTGCTCACCTTGGCCTGCTGCATAACGCCCTGTCAGAGAAGACAAGTGAAACACGCACTGGAGTACCACCTACTATGAAATCAAAATAGTCTGTTTTCAATGATCCATTCACCGGAGCCCCATCTCAGACTTCCCAAAATGGCCGTATTATAGTATGACACCATTCATCAAGCAGCATCCAGAAAATTTTAAAAAGGCAAGAAGCATGAATAGTGAGAGATTACTGATAAATATGACATAATGTCACTGTTTCCTCACTGACTTCTAATGTTTATTTTTCTAGTCACATGGAATACGATGTATAATATATATAAATATTGA